AACAACACCAGCAGCAACAACAACAGCAGCAGCAACAACAATAGCAACGAACACAACAACAAAAACAACAGCAACAGCAACAGCAACAACAACAACAGCAGCAGCATCAGCAGCAGCAACAACAACAACAGCAGCAGCAACAACAACAACGACAACGACAACAACAACAACAACAACAACAACAACGACGACAACAACAACAACAACAACAACAACAACAACAACAACAACAACAACAACAACAACAACAGCAGCAGCAGCAGCAGCAGCAACAGCAGCAGCAGCAACAACAACAACAACAACGACAACAACAACAACAACAGCAGCAGCAGCAGCAACAACAACAACAACAACAACAACAACAGCAGCAGCAGCAACAACAACAACAACACCAACAGCAGCAACAACAACAAAAACAACAACAACATCAACAACAACAACAACGAAAACACTAACGCCAACAACAACAACAACAACAACAATCATTTTACCCGAACGCTCAGTGTTCTCCCCAGTGCCAGGGTTTTCTTGCGACACCAGCCAATACCCCCACTTCGTGGGGGGGCCGTTCAAGCTCTACCAAATATCCAAACGACTCTTCGAGACCACCCACACCCAGCTTCCCGCCCTATGACGTTGGGACACTTCACTTCGTGGCGTGCGGACGACCCTGGCTACTACACTGGCGTGGGGTACACACCCACAGAGGTTGATCACATCTGTTACATATGATGTGGTACACGGTACACGTGAGATGGTACGCAGTGCCAAGATAGTTGGTCACATTTTTGGGGCAAATTCGTGGGGATGCGATTACAGAAGTACATGTGTTACACTGATGTTATACAGTCCCAAGGATGACGCATGCATTGCTCATAGACTCATGGCGCTATGATCCTAACTCTCAGTGCCCAACGCGCGCGTGCACAGCCAGACGGAGGGAGAGAAACACATGTATACAAGGTTCGTGACATACGCACGGTCCACCATGTTGTAAACGATCGCATGCACGGTAAGTTCTGAAATTATACGTATGTACAAGCAGACATGCGAGGGAGAAAGGGAGATGGCCATCGACAGTTCCAATACGGCTCCAAGGCGGAAGAGGGGGAGGAGGAGCAGGACAAGGAGGAAAGGAGAGAAGCGAGAAAGGAAGAACGCAGACGGCGCGGCTCTGGACACAAAGGGGTGCCATACTTTCTCCTGCTTTCGCAAACAGGTCCAGTCACACGTAGGGGTATACTCAACCGAATGGTCTTCGCATCCAGAAGCATACTAAAGGCGCGACGCATCGTCGTCTGCGATGGCGCGGAGCGGGCGCGTGGGTGCCCGGCTGCCTGGCTGATACACGTGCGGGCCTGGCTGATACCCGTGCGGTCCCAGATGCCCAATGAGATTGCCGATACGCCTGCTGGCGGGAAGGCCGGTGCTTGCATACGGCAGTGCTACCGCGAGCACGTTGTGGACCTGCGGTGGCAAGGCCTGGTAATCGAGCATGTTCGGAAGCTCGTCGCTCTGACCATACGACCGCCATACGGGCAACCACCACCACTGGTCTTGACGCGGATACGTGATCTCTGTGCCGACCTCAGGGGATACGTTCCAAAGGGCCATTTTCTGCGGGTCCGTACCCATGAAGGCCGCGTGGTACGCAATGAATACGTCCAAGGTGGCCAGGGCCCTGTAGGAGAGGCCGGATACGATCTCCGCATGAATGGGAATAGCGAGCTGACCGAGCAAATACCGCATACTGCGAAGGACCATGGACGCCTCATGGGGCCATCTTGCGCGCCTGTTGGGGCCATCTTGGGTTTTAAAGATTCATCAAGAGACCGCGAATGGATTTCGAGATTTTTCGGATGAGAAAGTAGTGCGTTTTCATATGTTTTCTGAACATCGCATCTTGAAATTATTGAAAACCCATTGTGTTTGGCAGGATTTCGACATGCGCGCGCGGCGGCCGCGCGCATGTGCACTTCGTCTCATTTTTTGCAAGGGATGGTGGCCCTCGCAGGCGCGCAACCGTTGTTGGAGAAGTTCAAAGCACCTGAAGAAGTAGCACGCAAAGACCCTTTTGACAGAAATGTTTAAAAAGTGGTGTGTTTCCTATGAATCCGCAAGAGCGCGCGGAAGGACATTTTGACAATTTTTTCTTAAAAAACCATTGGGTTTTTGATGTTTTTATGTTAAAATCGCTACGAAACCTAAGGTTTTGGAAGGATTTCGTCTTGCGAGCGCGAATGTCCACTTTACCTTATTTTTTGCAAGGGATTCTTGAAATTTGATCAACTAAGAACAAGAATTTTCATTTTCTATTGTTTTTTGCAAGGGAAAACGAGCGTCAACAAAAAACCGGATCCGGGGGTAATCCACTTTTCTGAAGCTTTCGCAGAAAAATGATGAAAATGTAGCTGCGGCCTAGGTTTTGGGCGGGGGGCGTGCACCAGGGGGTCCAACAATAATAATTCTTTAGAAGTAATAGTGTTCAACAACAACAACA